TAACAGGAGCAATTCTGGCCGGTGCTGGAGCAAGGTGGTGCAACTTTGTAACCTAACCTGATGGGAGCATGAGGCCTGGAAGAGCTTCGGTTCGTGCTGAAAACATCTGATTCGTGGTTGGGAGGCTTTTTGACACACATATTCTAGTGACTTGGTATAGTTTGAGTAGTGGACCATGAATGTCTCTGAGTTTTCCCTTTCTTCAATTGTTCTTAGCCAAGCCGGGTAATGTCGCCGATAGCTCATTTTTTGTATTCTGATAAGGGACGCTGGGCCTGGTTCCCAGCCGTGTTGCTCCCCACGAATAGATTGGATCATCGTCTCATTTATAAATCAATAAATAAAAAAGGGTTTGGAGGTAGTGAATATCCAGCTGCAGCCTGGCCCAGGGGGACAGGACAGACAGCTCAACCAGCTGCGTGAATACAGAATGCCAGGCAGGCCGCAGGTCATGGATAGTTCTACCCTTAGGCAGGGGTGAGGGGTGATACATCCTTCCAAAGGAAGCAATCAATGTGACCCTCTCGGGTCTCTCAAACATAATGGGGAGAAGTTTTGGAGTGTACTTAATGTAATTTGAGTGACCTGTGGGTGGAATAGGAACCAGACTGATGCTCCCTGGAATGCACAACGAACCGGAACCATAAGGTTCTGTCTTTGAAAAAAAAAGAAGAGAAACAACCACAGTAAATGAACCAGAACTCAACAAAACAGAAAAGAACAAAACCAAGCACAGAGAATGCAATAAAACAAAACAAAGCACAGCTAAATAGTACAAGACAGAAAAGCAGAAGCAAATCCAAACCGAAGCCAGAACAAACCCAAACCCAAACCAACACCCAAACCAACACCCAAACCAACACCCAAACCAACTCCAAAACCAAAACCGAAACTAAAACCAACACCAACGCCAACACCAATACCAACATCAACACCAAAAACCAAAAACCAAACACCAACACCAAAAACCAAAACGGAAAACCTAAGCCAGAAAACCAATACAAAACTAAACTAAACAAAAAAACAGCAAGTGGCATGCACAGACACCACTTGGGCCCTGAAGACCCAACATCGGACCTACTCGGGCCCTTGGCGGCGCGGCCCACTTTTTTGGGCAGTTGTAGGGCAGTGGGAACAATCTCTTGGAGCTGATGAGGCCCCAGATAGGCTGGTCTGTTTTGTGAGGTTCCGGTTTAGTAATTTTGTGATTTTTTAGACGATCTTTGTCTGTTCCAGGTTGTGTCTGGTCTGGGTTGCATCGTTTGGAGATTTGTTTGTCCGACACCAAAACACAAAACCAAAACCAGAAAACCAAACGAAACTAAACTAAACCAAAAAAACAGCAAGTGCCACTTTTTCCCAGCATGGCATGCACGGACACCACTTGGGCCCTGGGGGCCCAACATTGGACCTACTCGGGCCCTAGACCACGTGATCCAGATTTTTGGTGGTCAGAGGGCCATGGACACAATTGTTTGGACCTGATGAGGCCCATCGGCTGAGTTTCAGGCGAATTCACAATTTAACCTGGACCAACTTTGTTTGTAGCCCTGGTGCAACCTTGTGCTGCATCAGCAGGGAGCCTGGACACTGGGTAGAGACCCAGGCAGGCCACGTTTTTGCCAGTTAGGTCGGGCAGTACGGTGGCCTGCACCCAGGACCGTCAATCGGCACATCGCCCGGGCTCCAGGCTGTGAGACATGCCAGTTAGGTGGGCTAGTTCTCAATTTTGGGAAAACAGAGTTTGAGCCTTTGAGGACACTTCAGGCCACACACTGCTGGACATCGGTGTGGTTAGTAGCGTGATAAGCACTAGTAGAGTGATAGTGCTAGAGTAGGTTAGGCGGAGACCAAAGAGAGAGAGAGGGATTTTCGGTAGCAGCTTAGT